CCTAAATACACCCTAATAAACCCTAAACCCTTCACCCTAATAAACCCTAAACCCTAAATAAACCCTAATAAACCCTAAACCCTAATAAGCCCTAAACCCTAAACCCTAATAAACCCTAAACCCTAAATAAACCCTAAACCCTAAACCGTGCTAACCCTAAACCTTAAACCTCAACACTCAAGTCTTTTCAACCCTGTAGCTCTGACTCTAATCTATCGGGACCACCTAAACCCGAAAGCTCGAAACACTCAAATACTGAACACCCTAAAGCCTTGAACCATCGTTACAGGCATAAGCTAGGTTTCGACAGGTATAGACTAAACATCGCGGGCTTAGTAGGTTATGAAATAAACGATAGACCCTGAATGACGGCCGCATCTCGTGACAGGCCGAAAACGGAGACAGCAAACATCAAACCAACCCAAGCTCCAACCAACCCGCTTGGAACCTTGCCACGCTTCCTGGCTGCTGCCATCCAACCTCTGGAACGCGAGAGTTATTCTCGGGCCACTCTTAGCACAAGACCCGGAGGGAAATGCAGGGTAGATGCCGGACAAGTTTCAAACAAGACAATGCAGTTGCGCCGTGGTCAGTCAACCATATCGAGCTTTTGCTCCAGCTGTGAACAGACCCACATCCTTTAATCCTGCGGACCAGGGTAACAGCGCTTTTAGCCCTCCCCCAAAACCGAAAAGTGTTGGGTTACATTAAGATCCCGATGGAGTTTATATCAGAGGCCACACAAAACTAGGTTTACGTGTGCGATATCGTGTGCGATCCGTACACATCGGCCGCAGCTTTGAAGTTGCTGCAACAATGAAAAACGAGCGCATCTTTCCAGCAACTGGCTACTTGATACTGAGTGTGGAATGCAAAACATCACGCTGAGCGACAAGTTATCTAATGCGGCCACACGCTGGCCAGCTAGCAAACCTCTCTGCACTCTGACAAAGCATTTGTAAAAAAGGCCGAGACTCAGCAATTGCAGAGTAGCTGCAGGTTGGCCAGCTGCTGTGCGGAGTCCGCAAATGTTGCTCCATGCGAAGGAAACGCCGCGACTACTGCTTCCTATATGTTTGTTTGTTGCTACAAAGCGGTCAAGACTGCGAGTATACGCAGCAATTCCGGCGCCGTGCAAGCCGGTCTCAACTTTGACGCAGAGGCTGCAGCCCTGGAGAACACACTGCGCGATCTGTACGGCTTTTAACGCACGTATATGTTGGACCCTGGCTAATTATCCAGGACCTGTATGCCATCGCCTTTCTTGAATGCTGGGCACCGCGGCTGGGACATTGCTCACGAACCAGTGACGGATTTGAGGGCAGTCCCTTGCTGTACATGGAAGGCCGCGACAGCTTGCATAAAACGGTTTCAAAACAGTGATGGCCAGGGTACGACCGGTTAGAGAGAGTATAAGAGACAGCACCCTGGTAATTAGACTGACAGGCTCTTGAGCCCTGGACATGAACATGAGGGTTTAACCCTCTTCAACATGTCGAATCATGGCTGTACAACTGCCCATCTCCCACACTCTCAGAAGCACTTGCGGTGCACAATATTCGGGCCACTCTCATCGTACTCATCTTTGGAAATCCACATCTGCTGGAAGGTGCTGAGGGAGGCCAGGAGAGAGCCTCCAATCCACACGCTGTACTTGCGCTCTGGGGGCGCCACCACCTTGATCTTCATGGTGGCGGGAGCCCGCACTGTGAGCTCCTTGGTCAAACGCTCGCCGATGCCCGGGAACATGGTGGTGCCTCCGGACAGCACAATATTGGAGAACAGGTCCTTTCGGATGTCCAGGTCGCACTTCATGATGGACTGGAAAGTGGTGTCGTGGACGCCGCTTGCTTCCTTGCCCACAAAACTGGGCTGGAAGAGGACCTCCGGGCAGCGGAAGCGCTGAGAGCCCAGCGTGATGACGTTGCCGTCAGGCAGCTCGTAATGCATCCTCAGCAGTCGTAGAACAGGACATTCCGGAATGACACTGGTACAAGTATCCCGAATGTCTTGATAAAGCGAAAATGAGCGCGTGACATTCTACGGCTTTGCGTCCACTTAGTCTTGCTATGAACGATCCAAACTCTTCAAAACCTGTAGCTGGACCATGGCGAGAAATGGTGGCAAACAACATCTCTCCCAGGTACAATTCTGAGGACAAAGAACAATGCAAACTGAGCATTGCCTACCCAAGCATCTCTTGGTCACTGCCAAGGCTGGCAGCCTGCATCTCGCTGTCGAAGTCCATGGCGACGTAGCAGAGCTTTTCCTTGATGTCTCGGACAATCTCACGCTCCGCCGTAGTAGTCAAGCAGTAACCACGCTCAGTCATGATCTTCATTAGGTAGTGCGTCAGGTCACGGCCGGCCAGGTCCACACGAAGGATTGCATGTGGAAGCGCAAAGCCCTCGTAGATAGGCACCGTGTGAGAAACTCCGTCGCCGCTGTCCTGTGCGAGAATACGCCGGACGAATCACATGGTCGCGCAAACCTAAGGAGAAAAATTATTTCGAGTCAGCGTTGTTATACAGGGCCAGCCCGCACTCCCCCCCGATTCTCTGAACATGCGCGGAAACCCTCAAACAATGCTCCCCTGGGTTAGTCCATCACGATGCCCGTGGTTCGGCCGGAGGCGTAGAGAGACAGGACTGCCTGAATTTCCACGTACATCGCTGGAACCTGAGCGGGCCGAGGCTCAGAAATGTAGGAAATGCGATCTCGGATGGCTTTTTGGGGCTGGAAGAAGTGTTTGCACCCCGCGTCGCGGGGTTTCGGCTTTTTGTGCTGGGCAGAAAGCGATCATGGTATCATGGTAATTGCAATTCGCCTCGCCCGCGGCCGAAGTGGCATCCTGCCCGTGGCCTCATTATTGACCGGCCCCAAGGCAAGATTGCTCACCTTTGCTTCGCTTCGTTCATGCTGTTCATTTTGTACCCCTGTGGCCGTGCCTAATTCTTTCATGCCAAGACTGGCAGAGGCGGACGACTCGAAGGCTTACGAAGAACAAGTCGGAGCGGGCACATTTTAGTTACAGCACTGGAGTGACTGGTACAGCTACCACGATCCCTCGGACAAGCAGCAGCTTTCCATGTCTTTCAACAGTGTTTTAGGCCAAAGGTTGAGAAAAGGAAGCAGGCTGCCCTCACGGTTAATTATGGCCCATGGCCTATGGCTTATAGGAGTTACATCGGACTTGGGGTCTCGGGTCGAAACAATTCCACGAAGTAGGTTCGGTGCTGACATTTCAATCTCCGGAGCTTCACGGCATCCTGTGATGCGAGTCAATTCTACTCATGTTAAGCATGAGCATGCACATATCAAGACGCCTCCGAGCATTCGGATAAGAAGAACTCCTCCAGAAAGCGCATATTGCCGGCAACTTTCCCCGCAGTTCCGACTGCAACCTGAACGGTCCCTTGGAGTACCATCATTCAGCAACCTCGTATTTATCCCATCTCAGGGGCATTGAAAGTCTCGAACATGAGCTGCGTCATGCGCTCACGATTGGCCTCAGACTGCAGGCCTTGACGCTCGATTTATCAGCACTTGCCTGGTGCAGGGGATCGAAAAGACTGGGGTGTGGGGTCTAGTTTGCCATACATCTAGGACGAAAGGAGAACATTCATTGCTACACTCGCTACCCACAGAGCTTATGGGTTGGACCGGTTGCCGCTCAGGGATAGCTGAAGTCATGTCCGCCTCGAAAGACTCTAGGTTTCAGGGCGTTCACAACGGTGACTGTGTCAGCTACTCCCTCTTTTTCTTTCCTCCTAGAGTCCTGAGCTCTTTGAACCTCCGACCTCATACCTTGGACCCGGTCCCTAACCACTGCCGCCGATACCCCAGCTTGCCCCTCTCACCCTGTCGATATGCTGAATCCTGAGCACGAGGCTCCGTTTTGAGTCCACCCGAACCATACAATCGTAATCTCGGGTGCCTTGGGATTCATGGGGGCCTCCGTCAACAGCACCGGATGCTTCTCGGGTTCCACCCGTAGCTCGTTGTAGAAGGTGTGGTGCCAAATCTTCTCCTGCGAGCTGAAATCAGGATCATCTACGGGTTGGCAACGGTTTTGAGTGGGTTAGTGACTGAGCATAACATGCTGTATAGCTGTTGCAGTCGCGTATGTACAAAGTCAACGGAAAATTCCGGAAGTACGTGGGGATTACATATGGGTTCCCCAATATGACCATCGTATTTCGGGACGTTTTTGTATTTAGGCTTCTCTCTTAGTTTTGGCAACATTTGATGGCATGCAACTGAACCACAAAGCGATCGGAGAAGGCATTGCATTGTAGAAAGGATAATGAACATAACTATGTGATGACGGTCGGGATCACCATCTTCGCTACCGTGACCATCATCCGATACCTAGCAGAACGCTATCAAAGTGGTGGGCTGTTTCTGGGGGAGACCCCGCGCTGGATCGGACAATGCTGGGGGGCTTCCAAGACTAGGTACGCTTCGGAACTTCTTCGGGATCCCAGATGTACATATAACCCAACAGCAGAAAACGACAAAACCAAAAGACACAAAAAATCCGCGAGTACCCCGAAATGCATGCATTTTGTGTTCGTTTGGCTTCAATCCCCTGGCCTGAGACCAAAACCCAAACAACCAAGGATCCAAAAGGAACGCCGGAGACTTTGCATGTTTGGTTTGTAGATGGGTGTTTCGCGTGCCATAGAGAATTGGCATTATATAAGACAGCCCACTAGAACCGGAAAACCAAAACAGTTCGGGCATTCTCACTGGATCTTTGTGCTTGTTTGTCTCATGCTTCATCTTTGGTGTTACACGCTGTCTGCGCTCTTGCCCGAAAGTGAGTAGGTGCAATAAGCCGTCGGCGAGTTTTTTGACATACACACACATAAACACATGTATTCATTTCCCCCTAATTGGGTACAACACTTTCAATATTGTTGGTATATGTTTTGTAGTCAACTACAGTAGTGATTCATTGCTTCATACAGTCACATACGCAATAAGGCCGTATTATCAGATAAGTCAACATATACGTATGAAAACTTGTAATTTGAACACCATTGCGCTGTTCACTTCACTCGTCTTCACGTGTGTCTGTCAAACTAATGGTAAATAGCAGCAATAATGGCAACTCGTAGCAATTCGACTTGCAGGTATTCGCGTCTTTGCTGGAACTAGACTCGTGATATCCCTTCGAACCTGTCGAATCTCCAATTCCATTTTCAATCATATCTAAACTACTAGTACGTACTTATATGCATAGTGCATCGTATGAGATGTCTATTGCATTTAACAATGTTGTTGTTACCAAAATTACCCTTGTCCCTGTTGCTGCGGTTCTGGTTGCCATTCTGGTCACTCCAGTAAGAAACACCCAGTTAACACTCTGCACCTCCCCTTTTCTTACCATGTACAGCATATACTGTTTCGTGATTACGTTTTCGGGGAAAGTTACCTGTGCGTCTCGCCCACGAGAAACGTTCCATTGTTCAACAATAGGTAATCACATTATCGAGTACCGCCAAACACTGTGAAGCGCATGTATGAATAGTGAAGCGCATGTATGAATAGTTAAGTCCTTCGTTTGTTCGCATTTTGATAAACATAAAAATACCAGCTACTAGTCTTTGAGTATTCACACCAGTGCTTGAACCATTTATCAATCTACACAAAGGTCTTTTGTTTGATGGGCTAATCAGGTTTGAGTTTGTTTTAGATCCTGCTGAAAGAGGATTATTGTTGTTGTTGGCGCCGACATGACGTAAGCGCGCAAAACCGACATGCCGTTTGCATCGGTTTTTGCAGCGTTTCCTACACTCGAAGTGCTTTTTGCACAGTGCCGTCGTTGTTTCGTGTGCGTGCAGTTCTTGGTTTCTGCGACGTCCGGAATCCTCGGTATTTGCGGCGCTTCCTTGCATTCGGATGTTGCATATAGCGAAATTTATGGTGTTTCCCGTGTTTTTGCTTTCGTGTGTTTGCACTTCCTGGTGTTTGCGATCTCCGGATTTCCTTTCATTCGGGTGAAAATTTACGGTGGTTCCTCTCTTTCGCCGCCTTTTTGCAGGAGTGCAACTTGGGATAGAGCGACTCCATGGCCGAAATTTATTAATGCACGGGGTCCATTGCGATGTGGGAAAGGGAGACCTCCTTCGCTGTCGGTGGGTCTGGGCACCGGGGGTGGGGGGTGCGGGGGTGGGGGGGATAGTTCCGTCACTGAACTTCGTTGGAAAGACCTCATTCCCTCGCTCTTTCGTGTTTCCTTGCCTTCGCATTTCTTCGCCATCGACGTTCACAGACACATATAGGCTCATATAGACATATACGCATAAGCACAAGGGATACAGTACGTACGGAGGGAGTGCGTCGGTCTGGGCAGGGGGGTTAATTCCGTCATTACAAGACATCGACATGCACTATATATGCACATAACTACAGTGTGCTTACATTACCATTTTGCGCGTTTGCATTCTCGGTTTTAGCATGTCTTGGATGCCGCGAAAGACCGCGACTGGCTGTTCGCCCTGAGGGAAAACCTGGCGATACTTGTGAAGATTCCGGTTTAAGCCTCCTAAACCGCATTAAATGACATGTGTGTAGAAACAGACAAAGCCAACCAAACATAACTTCCTCTGTCATGCGTGAAAGCACACAAAACCCTGGTAGAAGCAGCGAAAACAAAGCAAAAATAAATTCGTGTTGTAATTTACAGCACATTTTTCCAAAAATAAAGCTACAGATTAACGAACTGGCCTTGTCTGACGACGCCATATCTTGTGTCCTTTCAAACATGGAAAGCAAAGAAACCGTACAAACGCCGGTGCGCTCGCCACTTGCGAAAACGTGCAAATCCAGACGCAGCAAATACCGATGCCGCCGAGGTTTTTCGGCCGTTGAAGTCTATGAAATGCTATAAGAAACCAATGCAATCGGCATGTGTGCGACGCGCGATTGAGTCATGTCGGAGCCAACCGTACAGACACACCACCACCGGCCACTTGCAGGCAGTGTTTCTAGGGCTAGATTTGGCTTGGGCATGCCTCCCCTGCCTACGCAACAGGAGCTATCCCCACACCGATCACACCAGTGCCGGAAGACTCGAACAAGGCACCAGCAGCCTCAGCCCAGCATCCCCTCCCCACCGGCTCGCAGGCTCCTGTCACTCCCCCCAAAAAAGTCACGCAAACATCCCACTCACTGCTGACCTGCCAGATCCATTCCGCCAACCCCACCAAGATGGCCGATCAGACGCCTCCCTTGCCTACTGGTTCGCTGCGTCCAGCACTACGCCCACCCCGCGGCCTTTCAACGTGTTTGCGGCGGAGCCGCCTCTCTGGCTCCCCTTGCAGGTGGGCACTCTGTGCAGGCCGAAGTCCGGGAGGAACCAGGGCCTGGTTGAGATTAGCGACTACCCGGTGGGCCAGGAACAAGCGCCCGTTCTGGAAAGGGTGGCACAGACAGATCTGCCAGTCTGACCACATGTCTGAATGGCTTCATGCGCTGGCCACCATACTGGTCATCAAAGAAAAGGCCGTCACTGGAGGATTCACCGCCTCGGGGCAGGTTCGCGTGTGGCAGAATCGCATCCGGACCTTGAAACACAAGAGCCGTGGACTTTGGCACCCATCCTCAAGGCGGAGACCAACGAGAAACACCATGGGACGAGGCAATGACAGCCCGACTCACTGTTGGCCTGCTCACCATCGCCCTCCTTGGGTCAGGGGGCGACCTACAGGGAGCTGCCATCTCTTACTGGCTACTTCGGTATCACTAGCTCCCTTTTTGTGCACTTTTGGGACCAAGATGAAATGCCGGATCCTGGCCTCGACCATCAAGTCCATCTACAATCAAACTTGCAGGACTTGCGGAGTGACCAAGCGCTTGATCATTTTCATGCCCAATAAGGACGGCACGCGGTGGCTGGTCTGGCCGCAACTTCTGGGATACCTCCGAGAACCACCACGCTTCGTCCTCCAGTTCCTGGAACTGGAAGAATTGACAGCAGACTTGTCGTGGGCCTCTGGCCAGATGTCAGCTCGTTGGTGGCTCAGCCTCCTGTTGTTCTGCCACACTTTTTGTTTCATGCAAGCACTCGCCAAGACTGCCGTTCTCCTTTGGCACGGCCGTGCTGCGGCATCACTGAGGATGCTCCGGAAAAAGAGATGCAATGAAACGGAGTCAAGGTGCTACCGTTGCTAATGCCGCTGAGAGTTCGGCATGCTCGCACCAGTCGTGCCTTCGACAGGTACTCAAGTAGTCACAGCTTTGGGGTCAGGCCGTGGTCCTGCTACGCGGAGGACTCCTGAACCTCTCATGTGCTTGTCGGTCTTCGGATATGGGGCAGACGCGGTGGACAACCCTGCTCGGTGGAGATGGGGAGGGAGCCTCATATGCTTGAAGGCTCTAAGCAGTACGATGCAGCACAGCGTGGATCGGTCGCCAAGAGTGGCCACCTCACTTATCATCATATAGCTTAGTCATGTTTTGATCTTGAGGTCGGTTTCATACCTAGTGAGTGCTTGGTGCGGCAATATGCCCGCCATGCGTGGAGCCCGCACGTGCAGCGCCCAATTGAAAATTGTTGTTGTTGTTGTTGTTCCTGTTGTTGCTGCTCTTGTTGCTGTGGTTGTTGTAGCTGCTGTTGTTGTGGTTGTTGGCTCCGACGTCGCGTAAAC